ATAGGGTTCAAACAGGAGTTAGCAAAGTCACAGAATTCATATGCAGGTGCATTTATCAAAAGATATCACATTACCGCAATTTTCTATGAACTCAGCAACATGCCACTTACGTGAAGCACACTCTAGCATACAAGACGAGGAGAATATTAATTCACATGTTTAAGACAGATATTTAAATCACTCTTCTTCAAACATGTCAGGATTAGGGCCTACAACCCTTCCAGCTGGCTCAGTATTTTTGCAGGTCACTGCAGTGTCCGTTCCTTTGCTTTTAAATTAACTCATTTTGCCCAGTTATAAAAGATTCCAAAACTGCACAAAAAGACTGCAAAGCTGCAGAACTCGATACTATAACTATTTATGCATTCATTCATTTTATTTTACAGTACAACCAGGATCCCCTGCTTTCTTAGTAAGGGAAGGGACTCTAACCCAGTGTTGTTCTCTGAGACTCAAACCTAACATTTTTAATGTTAGGATCGGTCCCTGTCTTGTCCTGTTCTGCCCAATGTTTCCCTGTTTGGCCAGAGGGTGTCGCTGGTCATCCCGTTCTGTTCCCTGTGCTCCCCAAAGGTTTACCCCAGTTATATTCCTTTCCATTTTCCTTGGTCCCTGTGCCGCCACATGGCTGAATGGCCTGAGCATGCAGCTTTTAACCAAGCTTCCCATAGTCATAGTTTGACCCACTTTGGACATTTAGAGTTTTGTGTGTTTGGTTAACCCCATTTTTAATCATGTTCCTTGTGTTTATGTACCCTAGTTTAGTTCTTGCCTTTAGTATCTTGGTTCTTGGGTACCCTGCCTGTGCTTAGCTTTGTACCTTGGCCCTGTGTTCCTGGTATTTCCTGGTGTTTGAGGCCTAACGTTTGGTTGAGTGTTAATGGCCCACACATGTCCCTCCTTATCCATGTATATATGTGCCTGTCGCTGTTCCTCTGTCGATTACTGTATGCGTTGGATTGTGTTTTCCCATGTTGTTTATTAGTGCCCCTCACTGATAACACCCATTTTCTGGTATGTTACATGTCTTTGTATTCTCCAGCCTTTCAGTTCAGCCCTATAGCAATGTTTTGTTTACCTGCTTTTGTTTTGAAGTCTCAGGGTCCCTTTTAATTTGATGTCCTTTTTAAGTTAACTGTATAATAAAGTTCCTGTGTCTAAGCCAGCAAGTGCATCATCATTCCCTCATTCCCATCGTGACAGAATAACTGACAAAACAAGATGGTCTCACGCTGGTGCCTCCCACCTCCCTCTTCACCTCCCTCTCACCAGCTCCAGGACTTCTCAGTGTGTCTGAGCCTCCTGCCCACCCTCACGGGTGGCTCCTGGGTAAGCACTTCCCTGATCAGTGGAGGGATGATGACCTGAGGTGATCGGACGAAGCCCTAGCCTCTTGGTGTGGTCCCTCATGGTCCATGAGGCCAGAAATGACCTTAAATTGCCAGTGCCAATTAGGCAGGTGTATATATAAACATGCATAAACTGATCAGCCATAACATTAAAACCATTGACAGGTGAAGTGAATAACATTGATTATCTTGTTGTCAATGGTGCCATTAAAGATTAGGCCAGTGAACAGTCAGTTCTTGAACTTGATGTGTTGGAAGCAGGAAACTGCAGCAAACAGCAACTTTGACTGGTGGAAACAGGAAGAAAAAAGAAATTTCTCAGAATGTGAAGTTTCCAAAGTAGAGGAACGCCAAACCATTTTATTTGCTAGTATAGTACATCTGCCAGTGTGGCAAACAAAAAAATTGTCAAATGGCAGCATGTGACTGCCGCTGTTAATGTGGTCAGCTCAACAAGCCAGACAACTTAACATTCCCTTGAACTGGCGTTCCTCTTCTTTATGTGGTTTGTGGAATGGGGCTAATAACCAGCACTTAAGTGGGTAACCGCTGTCTCCTGCGAGTAGTGCATGTAAACATTAGTCAAAGGAAAACTTAAACAAAACAATGCTTTGGCATAGGCAAAGACACACCAGCATTTCATAGTGGATCCCTGGGGAAAAAATCCTGCTTGCTGATGAATCCAAGTTTGAGATTTATGGCAGTGAAGAAGGATTTATGTAAGAACGTGAACAGAAGAGAGACTGATACTACAGTGTATCAGTCATAATACATGGGAGTGGGATTGTACAAGCCTGCCGGTGTTTTGCCTGCTCTGGAGCTAGGATTGTTGCTGGTAATTAAGCCTGTAATTTATGGCTTTTCTGAGGTCCATTAGGGCTGGTACATGTGAGAAACATGATGGTATAATGTCATATAGTAACTAAACGTAAGTTGAGTTGAGCTCATAGGACTTGATTTTACAATCCAATGTTGTGATTGGCGATCCTTCCTTAAGTGGGGGTAGGGGGTAAATGCTTCACTAGGACCGTCAGGCACTCTCCTTCCTTGGTGTTTCGTTGATGAGCATTGTGTAGATGTTATGTGCCTAAGGGTGACATCTGCTGTCCCAGGTGCACCCAGGTGCTTTTACTCCACCTTCTGGCTGACGGTCATCTTGCAGTCCAGTTCTGCTCCTTTCTTTCCAGCCAGAGCCAGTTGTTGGTTCGCTCAGTAGCCGACCACCACGGGCACCATCGGTGTTTCCCAGGCCTTTTTGTTTTACTTCAGGTGCCAGGTTGGAGTACTTATGTTTATGCCTCCAGAAGTGGCGACCTTGGGTGAAGCTGGTCTTTGGTCTCTGGTGAGTATGTTCTGTTGGGTTATTGGTGTTTGGCAACAGAGACATAATGGGTCTTCCCCAAGCCATTGGTTCAGGTTCTTGGAATTGGGTAGAACAGCAATTCCCAACTTCCCATAGAGCCCGATATCACTGAGGCATCATGGGAATCTGAACCCTTTCTTGATGTATATACTGACTGTTCTCTCCAGCTTTGGTCATGGGGACCTCATACTGTAGATCATCTGAGGCCACATCAGACAGGGAAGCAGTCCAAACTGCGGGCACCAAGGTTTCAGTTTCCCTGGAAGCAGGTTCATGTCTATATTAACAAGGTCTTTGATGGTTTCTTCCTTCAGCTGCTTGCTCTGGCCTGATTTTTTTAAGGATTGAATTGTACCACCACCTTAAACTCTTGACTGGCATCTCAAATACCATTGGTATTGGTGTTCTGTCAATGAGCTGACCATTGATACTGGAGTAAGTCCTGGACTTGCAGGGTTAAAACTTCATCCATGCTCATGTTATGTTGGAATGAAGTTTTTCCAGGAGTCACTTTGTACATGCAATTGGTTGTGGTCAGAGTGGTCATATCATCCATACAGGCACGGATGGGAGGTACTTCTTTCCCAGACATCAGACTAGGGCTGGGATGATGGCGATTATATAAATGAGTCGACATGGAATTGTGTGTAAAACTACGTAAATGTTTTGTAACTGCAATGTACTAAGTGATAAGCTAAATGTATTGTATGGGAAAGTACTTTATCCCCTCGGGATCACGTTAACGCAGTCTGCTAATAACTGAACTTTACTGTCCACCTGATGATCTCTTCACCACTCGAGAGCTACAATATTTTATTTATTGCACCTGCGGCATGGTTTTCATTTACAATAAAAAGTTATTCCACTAATAAACTGGCTAGTTGTTTCACTGCTGGCACCGTTAAAACTATGTCAATTATAGAATGAATTCCGATATAGTTTTGTCTAATATTGCCGGTGTTCTGTCGATATATGCTGCCTTGTCGAAAAAGGCTACCGTAGTGCTAATCGATAGCCCTAACCCTAACCCCCCAAACCTCCCAAAACCCTTACCTTAACCCTAACCCCTAAAACCTAACCCTAATCCCAAGACGATGGAACTGCACATGCGCAGAAAGGCTCGATAGCACGTCTCCATAGGTAGTATTTTATGACAGAACACCGGTGTGTATGCGGGTTTTCGCTGCAATTCCCTAATTAGATTACTAATTAGAGGACTGATTGGCTGAAGAGTCCTCACACCTGGGTTTGAACAGCTGACTTACAGGTTATGCCAAAAACCTGAATACACACAAGTGTTCTGACCAGTTGAGCTACCTATCGAGACGTGCTATCGAGCCTTTTTTGCACATGTGCAGTTCCACCATCTTGGGATTAGGGTTAGGTTTAGGGTTCAGGTAGGGGTTTTAGGGTTTTTGGGGGGTTAGGGTAAGAGTTAGGGTTAGGGCTATCGATTAGTATAGCCTAGCTATCGATTAGGTAGCCTAACTCGACAAAGTAGCTCAACTCGACAGAACACCTGTCCCAAGCCCGGATTAATGGGGAGGATTGGCGTCAAGAAATAAAGAGGCTGTATCTTCACTGCATCACTGATGTCAAAATGTGGGAAATATGTGGTTGTATAAATAAATGCGTTAAAGTAGGTTAATGATTCTGTGCTGTCTAAATTGTATAAAAAGCTACATGACATTTGAATGGGCTATAACCCAGTTGCATGGACGCATTATGAGAATGAGAAAGACGGTGCGTGCACACTAATTAACCTATACCCTATTCACGTACACAATACACTGTAATTTTTGCAACAAAAAGGTATGAGATGGGCAGGCAGCTGGAGGTGGAATTTTTGTCCTTGGTAAAACTCTGACGGTCTCCACACTGGTAACAACGTTGTTTTCTAGGCATAGCCAAACAAATATCCTCCTGTCTGAAAAGGCGTAGAAAACGCCTTGTTACTGTGAGGGACAGTCGAATTCGCTCGTTAAGTTTTTTGTGTTCTTGCACACACACTTTAAAACTCGTTTCTGCGCCGCCACATATACGTGTGTGTGTGCGTGGGGGGGCGATCGATGTTGTCCCCCGAGGCCTTGTGTGCAGTTGTTCCGCCACTGCGTCATCATGAGCACTTATTGAGGAAAAAAATAAATGCTTTAAAATGTGCCTTTCGTAAAGTCAACACTTTTTTGTTCAGGTAAATGTAAATTTATCTTTCCATTACTTTTACATTGATCCCACAAACAGGATTATTGGAAATACGGTTCCCAGAATTCTCTGCTCACGCTTGTCCGCTTCACACTGACATTATGGTGATCTGCTGCGTATTAGTTAGGGAATAATTAGGGAAATTATTTTACATGTTTTAAAGTTTAATCTTCGCATTATACTGAACAACAGAAAATTGTATCTTACTGGTGACAAACTTTAAGGGACTTTTTGTTTTAAATCGAAACTAAGTACAGAACGATATTTGTTTACTTGTTGCCTTGGTAACGGAGGTGCAGTAAGTGACATTTTATTAACTTCATACTACAGTGTTACTGTTATATATTATGTATCCGATTATATTTAACAAAATACATGAAACTGTCTTCTTAGTGCGTTTGTAACTATGTCGGATCCAGACTTAAAGCCGTTCGATGTACGGTGTAAATATATGATAATCTCAATAACAATAGCGACTTTCTAAATGATACTTTGCTAATGTGAATTGCCCGTACAGGATAATGAATTTTTGAGAGCACGAAAATCTTCTGGCCCTATGCGCTTTTTCTAGACTGTCACTGACATGAACAACTATGAAGTTGTACGGAAAATTGGAGAAGGAGCGTTTGGAAAAGCTTTCTTAGTGAAAGCCAAAGACGGAGGCAGCGAAACGGAATGCGTGGTGAAGGAAATCAACCTGAGGAAGGTATACTAACTTTGTATACTTAATGTGCGTCCCATATTTGCTGAGTAACTAATCACTAATCATAAGTATAACCACTGGTGTTTTTCCCAATTTAAAAATGCTACCTTTTATGTTGCTATGTTACCTTTTAATATAACAGACTAAAATAACCAACGAAGGTGCGCTTAGGATTCACTGGTTTGTGGCAAAGAACCAGCTTATTGTCCTTCATCTAGCATGCTGTGCTATGATTAGCATAAAGACACAGATAGATTTGGATACAGAAGTATAACATCTCCTGCACCATGTCTCAGAATTTCCAACAATGGGCTTCGATTCCCAGATGCTTTAAAACAGCATGAACTCCAGGAATCTCAGTAACGTCATGCATAAGAAGCAAGTCAAGCTTTTTTTTTATTATATAAAAAATTTTAAAAGAGCAAGTCAAGCTGGGCTATTCAGTCACTAAGCACTCTCAACATCTTATCTTAGTGGCATGTCCCCCGAAAACTATAATACACACACACACACACACAGAGAGACATCTTATGCCTTATCTTACTGAATGGTATTCTAGAAGGTACGCCTATTGTGGGTACTTGACCATGGTTGCTCGACTGCCTTGTCAGGTAAGTTGGAAGCTGCAATGAAGCACCCCAAGTGTAAAGAGAATATTACTGAATATTATATATTTCATGATGATTTCTGAAACATTGTTCTTTTCAGATGCCTGTCAAGGAAAAAGAAGCTTCCAGAAAGGAAGTGATCTTGCTCTCGAAGATGAAGCATCCAAATATTGTCATGTTTATAACATCATTTGAGGGTCTGTGCATGGCACATATACAATGTCATTATTACTACTAGCACTTTCGCAACATTTTAAACGTAACTATGGATTCTCTTATGTAAAGGAAACTTAGGCAAAGCTCTTCAGAAAGCATAGTTTTCTGGAACATCTCTGGTGGCTTTTCATGGAGAAAATGATTAACCTAAATCTTCATTAAAAACTGTTTAAAATATACTGGCAGTAGGAATAGGCGATGGAGTGAATCTGTTATCTTGACTTGGTCTTGCTTGTGATTTAGAGAAGACCAATCTATATATTGTAATGGAATACTGTGATGGAGGAGATTTGATGAAGAGGATCAATATGCAGAGAGGCGTCCTCTTTAGTGAAGACCAGGTACAGTACATGTATAGGGATGTATGCATGTCTGTTTTTGATTTGTTTAGCATATGGTTTTGTCCACAGCCTCCAAAGAATCTTAATGAGCTAAGATACTTCTGTTGAGTACAGGCTCTACTCTCAGCTCTTCAAGTAGATTAAGGTTGACATCTGAGTTGTGTTATTCAGTGATTATGACTGGAAAAATGAAAACTTCATGTCACTGTCCGGTCAATTAAAACAATAAATAATTGGGCAGGTTTCATGTCTGCCTTCTACAAATTGACTTCACTAACCTGTGAGATGCTGGATCCATAGGTAAGAATATCTGAGTTACAGTCCTGGATGCAACATAGTTTGGGGTCAATGGAATAAGACAGTTGAATAAGGCAAGAATATTAAACTTAAATGGTGCTTGCAGAACATAGTGCTTAAATGAACAATTTGCTACCCAAAGGAAAATTGCCATTTTATAGTAAAGGTGACCTGAGCAGATATGAACAGGACCTTTGCTAAACCTCAAACTGAGCTGCATTTCTGGACTCCGCATCTCCATATGCATTGTGTCACTGCAGTGAAAGTCAGTTCCACTGAACGATGTTGAACAAACATTGTCTTGCGGACATTGTGCCGGCCCACAGCTTCCTCTGAGGACACAGGCCAGGTGCACGCTGTGCTCACACACAGAGGGGGGCCCATGTCCCCTTGTCTGGTTAAGCAAACGTCAAATTTTTATTTCTAATTCAGCCTGTTTGAAGGAACATAATGCGATCAGGCATGGAGGATAGTACGTGTAGAATCTGTGTATTTTGGGAGCCTGTCCTGATGTTTTCCTGTCCTCCTCAGATAGTGGACTGGTTTGTACAGATCTGCCTAGGACTGAAGCACATTCACGACAGGAAGGTCCTACACCGGGATATCAAGGCTCAGGTACAGCGACTGCATGTTGTGGCAAAGGCTCATGCATACTTTGCCTGCCTCCAGCCTGCCTCTCTCAGTAATCAGCCGTGGCTCGGTGGCTGTGAAAGAGTGAGGAAGGCCTTAGATCAGTGGTTCTCAATCCTGTTCCTGGCGACCCACCTGGCAGAATGTTTTCATTCCAACCCTACCTTAATCAGGCTTATATGGTCCTTAATAGGCTAAAGCTGGTTACAGACCGAACGCGGCATGCGCTGTGCTCGCCGCAAGGCTTCTGCGCAGAGTAGGCGTGGTTTTCAAAACTCTCTCCTGTCATTTTGGCTCGCGGTCAGTAGCGATGATGTATATTTCGCATTCAAAAAGATTCTACGCTTGTGTGATATAGCTCTGGGAACTCAGACATGGACACACAAGTTTTTCCTCCATTTCGTTTTCTGTGCCCGGTTCGGTGCCTTGTTTCTATTGATCGCGAGACAATGTGTCACAGCGCGCAGAGGTCAAAGTTCAACGAAGTTCATCTTTGACCACAGTGCTCGCACAAGCTCCGTGAGTGGCGCAGCATAGTGTATGCCGCGTTCGGTCTGAAACCGGCTTTAGCCTATTAAGGACAATATAAGCCTGTGTTGTGTATTCGGAACAATGAATCTCTGTACTCGGGTAGTAGTTTTACTACTGTTTTTCTTTTCTTTAATCAACCCCTCTCTCCCCATACCTCTACATTATCTTGTAACAGCGACACCTGCTGACACGTATGTATTTCAAAACACCACATATCCCCTTTTTGTGAAAGAACGGAAACTTGCCTTACAAGCAAAATTAAACAAAGCACAGAACACCAGAAAACCACAATTCTGAATATTGCAACGTGTAATATTATGCCACTAAATATTCCACAATACATTGTTTTGTAAATCACATTATTATTTTTTTTAACTATTTCTCAAAAGTACTTGTATCGCCCTCCCTCGTTAAATTAAAGAGCATGTCTTTTTAAGTAACATAGTCCTTAGACCACACTGGAGAACGATGCACTCTATGAGTACGTCAGGCTTGAGGAAGAGAAATTATCATTTGAGGTGTTTGCGATGCTACAGGAGACATGAAGGAGTCTTCTGCTACAGAAGTTGTAGCAGGTGCGTTGACACAGGATGCAGCTGGAGCCAGATGCATAGCATTCCAAACTTTCCCGTCACAGAGGAGGTATGTTGCTGAGCCTCTCTTTGCGACAACCTTAAGAGGCTGTGTAAACTTGTACTGTCCTGTCTTGATGATCCCAGGCTTTCTAACACGCACAAATGTCCCAACTTCTATCTTCGGAGGTGTTGCACTGCGTCGCAGATCTGTATAGTCTTTCATTTTGTTTTGTGACCGTTGGATGATTTGTTTTAAATCCTTTTTATTCTTCGGTGGGGTCACGCATGGAAGACCACTCACATGTAATTTTGTCCTAATTTGTCGGCCATTCAAAAGTTCGGCAGGTGACAGTTTTGTCACAGCATGTGGAGTTGCCCTGTATGTATGCAAAAACTCTGTCACAAAAGCTTTCCACTCTTTACCTTCAATGCTAGCAGTCTGTAAACAGTCTTTGAACACTCTGTTAAAACGTTCAATCTTACCATTCGCTTGGGGGTAATAGACAGAGCTACGATAGTGTTTAATATCTCTGTCTGTAAGGAATGCCTCAAACTCAGCTGAAACGAATTGTGAACCATTGTCGGTCACAAGTTCAAGCGAATTTCCTTAATGACTGAATGTAGCAGATAGGAACTTTATACTAGCTGCAGAAGTAACATCAGGCGCGAACGCAATCTCTGGCCATTTGCTGTAGTAATCAATAAGTGTTATCGCAAAGCGACATCCTTGAGGGGCATTATTCAGGGGCCCAACTACATCAATAGCCAGTTTTTCCCAAGCGGTCGTTGGAGTAGGCACAGGACAGAGTGGAGCTACATGTGTAGTAGCAGTTTTATTGTGCTGGAGACAGGTAGCACAAGATTTGATGGCATTTTCCACTTGACAGTCCATGCCAGGCCACCAATACAATTCTCTCAGCCTCTGCTTTGTGCGCACCATTCCTTGATGTGTGGCATGAGCCAGTTGTATGAACTTTGGTTGTAATGTTTCTGGAATGATCACTCGATGTGTGCCCCGAATTATGTACCCATCGTATGCAGACAGCTCATTTCGAAGCCGATGATAAGGAGCAATAGCGGCGCATTTAGCTTTACAAGGCCATCCTTTTTCGATGCAACCCTTTACCTGCTGGAGAATAGGACAAGCGTCACATGCAGACTTAAGTTCCTCCACAGTAACAGCTGCAAACTCAGGAGACAGCACTGCAACCATCTCAAGTTCTTGCTCCTGACTATAATCGGTGACTGGGAGTGGAAGTCTGGACAAACAATCAGC